CTCTCCATCCTGGTTGTACTCCTCCTCTGACTCCTCTGCTTCACTTTCTACGAAGTCAGACATGGCTGTGGCGTCTCACGCAGGAACTGGGGAGAGAGAACACATCCATCACATCAGTTGAGGGATGGGAACACAAGCACTTCCCCCTACTGGGTTTTGGAGAGGAGACAGCTAAGGCAAAAGGTTTCAAATTATTTGTCCAGGCTCTGAATCACCCAGAGCCCCCCTTGCCTGCACATCCCTGTCAGCAGAGATTAGGCAAGTGAAGGCAACAGCCAGGGGCTGCTGGCGCCTGTCAGGCTGTGTCTCAGTGAGCAGAACATGACTGTCACGACAGCACTCACTGCACAGCTGAGTTCCAGCTGAAACAGCACACAGAGCCAAAGCCCTTCAATCCCATCCATACCCTCACGCCTGGCCAGGACAGCAGCCCTACACCATCCCCAACGCAGCGCTGTGTCAGAGATCCATACATCTGGTGCACAAACACAGCAACTTCAAAAAACCCAGGGATTTGCTTCTCAGATCAATTAAAAAAAAAAAAAAAAAAGCAAATATTGGAGAATCTTTTAAGTCTTAAAACATGAATAGCTCCAGAGGAATGCGTTGGCCCTATCTCACTAAAGGAAGCCCACAACAAAGACAAGGGAAAGACCTCAGTTGCAAGCAAATAGCAGCTCATATTCCTTGGCTCAGGGCTCCGTGGCTGTGGCCAACACCTATTTATGATGCTCCAGACAGGGAGAAGCCGCAGCAAGCCAAGGCTGCTGCTCTGCACCAGACAGGACATCACCGCCCTGGCACAGCACGCAGGTACAGTGTGATCCCCGCCTTCAGAAGGGCACTGCAGATGTCACACACTCTAGCATCCCCCTCCCTAATAACGCTTCAGAAGGCAGTACTCATGCCAGGTAAATGTTTTCTGCATTTCAAAGCAAATGCCACTGATGAACCATGTAACTGCGTGAACAGGAGTTGCTTTGTTTGCCAGGTTCAGTATGAGCATTATGTCAGTTCCACACTTCCTCACCTATTCTTCTGTACCCACCAGGGTGTACGAACATAAACATCAGTGCAGACCAAGCTCCTTTTTCTACAGTGTTTCCACTTGTACAGCAAGGAAAAAACACCTTCATCACAGTGCTATGTGCAGTCTGATTACTCTCTGCTAGCGAAACATTTCACTTGCAGTTCCAACTTTCCTCCTCAGCACTTGTTCTACCATTTCCTGGTAATTTCAGTTCACGTCAAATGAAATTTGTTTGGATGCAGGGAACAGCTATGACTTTGGAAGCCCATCTCACGTAATGATCCAGCTGAGCAGGTTCCACACAAGCCAGCCGCCCACGTCACCAGGAGCTTTCAGCTCCACTGAATTCCACCCCAGGACAGAGGAGATGTCACTTAGCACAGGAAATGGAAGTGAGGGCAGCTATTACCATGGAGATGCTGAATCAGATACGTACTAATGATGCCTCTTCCACCCTCCCTTTGAGAGAGGCATTCATCTGAAATAACACAGAAGACAGGCAGAGACCTCTTCCCACATGGGTGAAGATGAAGATATGGACTTCAGACCAGTGCTGCTGTTCAGAGGGCTGTTTGTCTGGCTCTAGGGATCCATCCTCACTGAGTATTTCCAGGCTATCCTGGCTGTATCAGGCATTGGATCCATCCTGAGAGCATCCCAGCAGCATCCCTGTTCCTGTAACAACCCCAGGAGAGAGTGGGAGATCGCTGCAGCATGGGAGCAAACACTAAATTACACAAGAACACTAAAAAGGCAGGGAAACAGCACCCAGACCTGCATGTTTACCAATGCAAGAGCAGACAGGCTTCTATGGGTGACTAGCTTTACCCCAGAACACCTCACAGTCAACAGACACTGACCAAGATGGACAAGGGTCAAGGGCAGCACAGTGATGGCAGCAGGAGTGGACACAGAGGTGTCCCAAGCAGTGCTGGGCCTGTGTGCTTACCTGACCTCTGCTTCAGAGCAGGGGTTCCTGCACTTTGCTCAGCTCAAGGGCACAATGGCAAATTTCCAGAGTCTATAAGCTGCTTTTAACTGGAGTGACACAGAGCAGATAGCTCTCTGCTGTCAATACAGTGACCAGAGATCAGATCAGCAGGGCTGGGCACTGCAGGTACCTCTCTGCTTTGCTAAGGGAACGATGGACCTGAGCATGCTGCAAACCAGATGTTCAAGCACCTGCAAAGCCTTGGGCACACATCCAGCTATCTGCTGGCTGCTCAGGACTGCAATCAGAAGACTGCAGTGCTGGAGGCAGGCAGAGTTCTGCACACAATACGCAAGCAAAAGTTCACTCATTAAGTTTAGAAATGGAAACACACAGTGAGCACCTGCAAAATATCAGAATAGATGAGAAAGAGTGCTTCTGTGCCTTGCCATGGCAGCACTGAGTCAAGGCAGGGACAGGACTGACATCAAGAATGGCCCAAAGAAGCTCACAGCCATAGCAGATGTGGGATGAGGGAAATAGGAAGCATCTCAGTGGTAACTGCAGAACCACAGAGCAGTCTCTCATGGTGAGACATGTTTATTATTCAGCAGACCCAGCTGGACCCTGTTTGTGGACCCAGGAGCAGTCCCAGGATATCAGTGTCAAGGCACAAAACAAGAAAAACTTGCTAACCTAGGCTCAGGCCAGAACTGCATGCACATTTCACAACACAAGCAACAATCCTGACTGCTCCCCATCCTTCATGGGAGCAACTACATCGAGCTCCCAAGCCACACCAGTATTATTTCAGGATGGTTTTTTGGACAGGGATCATTTTAATCTCTGCCATTTCATGGTTCAACTCACAGTTCACCTAGGATTTTTTTGCTAAACACCTTTGCCAAAGTCACCACTGAACAGTTTTGTCCTGCTCTCATGTCTGCACTTCGAAGACAAAATGGGTGGACTGGAGAAGATTCAGAAAGCTCCGTGAGAATATGAAAGCTTGAAAACTGCACTCAAAATTAAAATGTAGTGCCTAAAGAAGCCCAATCCATTCATTTTGTCATTGAGATGTTCGTGAAATTAAACCTAGTACAGCAAAAGTATTCCACAGAGTAGGAGACTGCAACAATCTGCTCATTAGGAAAAACCCAAACCAATTGCAAAGGTAACAAATGCACTGAATACCTGTATTAAATAAAAATGCCATATTTGAGCCCGAATGTATGCATTTAACATTGATCACTGAGCGATGACCTCCAGTCTGTGTCTCACTGCAAAATGCAGATGATTGTATCACCATCTTTGATTTGAAACATATAAAGCCCATGAGAGCATCCCTTTGGAGCAGTAAGGCACTCACACCACAACCAAGCACTCTCACGGGCTCCTCATCAGCTGCAGGCTTCTCCTAAGAGCCACTCCTTGCTGCAAGCACAGACATCTGAAGAGCCTGCCAACCCTGGTACAGCACCAGTAACATGTAATGTATTTAGGTTTCACAGCTGTTTTGTAAACTATTGAGGTCAGAAGCTAAACCAGATGTTCACCTCTCAATGGTAGGTGTGCAATGGAGCAAAACAAGGCATTGCAGTGTGGCGTTTGGCGACTGGAAATCAGCAATGCTGTGACAGGGGAAGGTCAGGCGAGGCACTGCAGCTCAGGCAGTTCCAGTACCTGCTTTGTGAGTCTTATTGCTCCCTGCCAGTCCCACCTCCCCGGTGCTATTGTGCTGCAGAACATCCTGTGGCAATGTGTGCCACGATCTAATGGCACATTGCGTGAGAAAGCACTTCCGCCTGTTTATTTTAGACTTGCTGCATCATAATTTCCTCTAAGAAATAGAAAACTGATGTACCCTGCTTGCTTTCTCTGACCTCTCTATGACTTCACACACCTGTCTTACATTTCCCATCTGCATTTGTCCCCCTGGGGCGAGGAAACATGGGCTGAGCTCCCCCCTGCATGGTGGGCAAACCAGAGACGCCTGCAGCACCCAGCTGCCAATGCAGCAGCACAACAAAGTTTCCAGCTTTGCTCTCTGCACCTTTTAAGCAATTCCAAAATATCCATTTTAGACCCTGGTGTGGTACTGAAGCGTTGTTTTTTAGGAGAAGCCACTGCTGAGACATTCCCAGTCCTTCTTCAGCAGTGAGAACCAATGCGGAGCCAATCGCTGCAGTATCTGGAACCTTCATTAAACCCACTGCTGCCATGTGAGCACTCAGCAGCACCTGGGCTCTCTCTGCATCCTCCCACAGCCGTGTTTATCCACCCTAAATAATTCAGCACCAAAATTCAGCACTTCCTTTCTCCTTCTCCATAAGACCACATCCAGAAAGAGGAACAGATGAGTGTGAACCTCCACAACAACCACTCCCCAATGGCAGCACCACGCTCCCCTTACCCTTCACGTGTCACTTTTTCACTGATTATTAACCCCACGGAGGGGTGCTGCCCCACAACCTTTTTTTTATTATTTTTTTGGAGGGGGGGGGGGGAAGGAGGGCTGTGTCAGACGTTGCTAACCAAACAGAGCGCTCCATCAGCACAGGACCTGCTCCTGAAGACCCAGAAACCAAAGAAGAGCACAATAAACCTGTAAGAAATTGAGATCCTCTCCCCTCCAACCGGCAAGACAACACGGCGACGCTTTCCTCCGCCCCCCCTCCCGCAACCTCCACGTTTCAGCACAGCCCCACGAGAAGGCCTGGCACACCTCGCCGCTCCCGTGGGGATCTCGGACGGTCCTCCCCACCCCACAGCCAGCCCACGGCCACGGCCAGCCCTCAGCCGGAGCCCCGCAGCGCTGGGACGGCTCTGCCTTCACCTCACAACCGAGGACGAGGCGTGGAGGCCCGACCGCACCCCCCACCCGTCGCTCCCCCCGCCTCACATCGGCCTCCCAGCCGCGGGCAAGCCCCGGAGGAGGCTTCGGAACCCGGCAACCTGCTGGCCGGAGCCCCCCGGGCCGCTCCCGGCTCCCTCCCGCCGTTCAACCCGGCGCGGCCTTACCCGAGGCGCTGAAGGAAAATGGAGGCCTCGGCGGCGGCGGTGGAAGCGAACGAGGAGGGTGGGGGGAGGAGGAGGGGGGGAGGTGGAGCAGACGAGCTGCGATCTCCGGGCGGGCAGAGCGGCGCCACTTCCGCTTCCGGTGGTGGCGGCCGTCGCGGGGATGCGGCGGGGCCCGGTGCCGGTGGTGGCCTTCGTGCTGGCGCTGGGCGCGGCGGCGCGAGGTGGCGGTTCCGGGCCTGTAACGTGCGGTTCGGTGGTGAAGCTGCTCAACGTGCGGCACAACGTTCGGCTGCATTCGCACGATGTGCGCTACGGCTCCGGTAATGGCTTTCGTCCCCCCCCCCATCGGTATAGCGGGGTCTTGTTGCGGGTCCTGGGCCTGACCGCCGTTCTTCTCTCCCGCAGGCAGCGGGCAGCAGTCGGTGACCGGCGTGTCGGCGGCGGATGATGGGAACAGCTACTGGAGGGTGCGAGGCCGCACGGCCGCTGTGTGCGAGCGGGGCCAGCCGGTGCGCTGCGGGCAGGCCATCCGCCTCACGCACCTGGGCACCGGCCGCAACCTGCACAGCCACAACTTCGTCTCCCCGCTCTCGGGCAACCAGGTACCGGCATGGCCCTGCGCCCCGGGAGCAGCCCTCGTGTGCCATATCCCAAATGGGCACCTCTTGTATCCAGGGTCTGCAGGCTCAGCCTGTTCTCTGGTCCCTGCCAGATCTCCCAGGCCATACTGAGTCCCTGCTGGGTGCGCCAGTCGTCGTCGGGTCCCTCTTGTTGCTATTGGGACCCTACTGGGTTTTCCGCAGTCCCTACCAGGCCCATACTGGGTCCGCCAGGCTCTGTGGTGTCTCACTTGTTGCCATCTGCTCTCTCAAGTCCTTACCAGCCTCACCTAGTCCCCTAATCAACCCCCATTTGTCACCCCAAGAGCTTGGACCTACAAGGTTCTCCCAGGCCAAAACGGATCCCTGTCAGCCCCACCTTTTTCCCCAGCCCGTTTTTCCCAGTCCTCATTCCCATCCTATCCTTGTCTTGGTCTCTAGGGCCAGCCACACATTCTACCTCCTTTAGGTCGTGTCATCCCCCATGCAAGGTCAACATCCTGTGGCACCTTTGGGACACCCGCATAGCTCTGAGTTAATGAGATTGCTAATGAATCAGCACTCAAAACGTGCAGCCTGTAAATCTCAGCAACCCCAGAGAGCTGTCCCTTCTCTGTCCCTCTGACACAAAGGTGATACAAAGACCCGAGCCCTAAAACTGAGCTGTTTTTTTTTTTTTTCCTCCAGGAAGTGAGCGCCTTTGGGGAGGATGGTGAGGGCGATTACCTGGACGACTGGACAGTGCTGTGCAGTGGGACCTACTGGGCACGGGACAGCGAGGTGCGTTTCCAGCACACCTCCACCGACGTCTTCCTCTCGGTGACAGGCGAGCAGTATGGGCGGCCCATCAACGGGCAGAGGGAGGTGCACGGCATGGCCACCTCCAGCCAGAATAATTACTGGAAGGTGATGGAAGGCATCTTCATGCAGCCCGGAGAGGTCTTCAAAGCAGAGCAGCACCACGTTGAGTTGTGACTGATGGACTGATGCGTTCGGGTGCTTGGTGTGGGGATGGCCACTGTCCACATGTGATTGTGACGCATATTGGGAAGTGGAGCCCAACATCCTGAATCCAACACAAAGCTGATCCTGGTGTGCTGAATTTGACACTTGGTGTTTGGGATCTGATGCAAAGCAGATCCCAGAACCCTGAGTCAACATAAAGCTGATCCCAAATCCAGCACAAAACTGATCCCAAAATCCTGAATCTAGTACACAGCTCATCCCGACATCCCAAATCCAGCATCCCAAATCCAACATCCCAAATCCAACATCCCAAATCCAACATAAAGCTGATCCCAGAATTCCAAATCCAACACTACAGCTGATTCCAGTGTCCTAAATTTAACACTAAGCAGATTCCACCTTCCCAGATCCAGCATAAGGTCAACGCCAAAGCCCAGTTCAGACAAGAAGCAGAGCTCAGTGCCCCAAATCCAACAGGAGTCAGATCACAGAACCTCAGATCCAAGCACCCCAAATCCAATGCAAAGCAGATCCCAGCATCCCAAATCCAACACAAAACAGATCCCAGCATCCCAAATCCAACACAGAGCAGATCCCAGCATCCCAAATCAGATCCCAAAGTCCCATTTGGACACAGATCCCAGAACCCTCAAATAAATCACATCCCAAAGACCAGACTGGACTCACAGCAGCTCCTTGCTCCCCAGAGCAGCACCCACACTCGCCAGCTGTAACCTTTGTTTATCTCCATCTCCCCTGAAGCAGTGTTGGGGGGTCCTTCTTCGGAGATCTGAGCCCCCTCCCCTCCACCCGGCCTCACTGGGTGGGGATGCGCGTTCGCACGGCGGCGCAGAGAGATGTTACGCCACTCCGAACCGCTGGGGGGCGCTACCGCCAAAACTCCGTGCCGGCTCCGCCCCTCCGCTTCCAACCGTCACTCCGGGCCCGGCAGGCGGCTCTGCCCCCGCTGAGCGGACGGCGGCGGCCGGGCCCTGGGGGCCGCCATGCTGCTGCCGCCGGGCCTGCCGCTGCCGCTGCCAGCCGCTCTGCTCGGCCTCGGGCTCGTCCTGCTGCTAGCCGGGCTGCTGGCGCGGTCAGGGCCTGGGGGCGGGTCGCTGGGGCCGGGGGGAGGGGCGAGGGAAGGGGTGGTGGGGTGCCGTAGGGAGGGCTGTGGGTCTGGGTGTGGGGTTTAGAGGGGGTGTAAGTGGGAGTGTGGGGTGTAGAGGGGGCTGTGGTTGGGGATGTGGGGCGTGGAGGGGATTTAGGTGTGGGTGTGTTGCATAGAGGGGTCTGTAGGTGCGGGTGTTGGGTGTAGAGGTGTGGATGTGGGGTGGTAGGGGTGTAGGGGGGCCCGCAGGGGTCTCTGAAGGCCCGCAGGGCTGGCTGGGGTAACGTCAGGGTGCTGGGGGAGAGGTGTCAGGCTGAAGGAGGTTGGGGTGGGAGCTGTCAGGGCATTGGGAGCTTATAGGAGTGAAGGGATCTCGCAGGGATGGGCATAGGGTGATGGGGAAGTCAAAATGGATCTCCAAGGTTATGGGGGGTTTTAGGGCTTTAGGGAGCCCCCGTAGTTCAGGGATGCTGTAGAGCTTGGAAGGGAATGTCAAAGGTGGAGAGTGTTGTGTGAGCGGGATACAGCCAGGTCTGGGGGTTTGTGGTGCTTCTGTACAGGTCTGGGGGATCTTGTGGGGCTGGATGTGGGGAGAAAGGGGGAGTTGGAGCACAGGGCTTGGTGTGGAGGCTGAAGGACCCACAGGTATGAGGGTCTCTGGGATAGTGCAGGTGGTAGGAAGGGAGAAGATGTGTGGCTCAGGACAGCAGAGGTTGATCCTGTCCCTTTGCATGTACCCACAGGTGGCTGGCATGTCGCCTGGCCATCACCTGGTGCCGGCAGAAGCTGCAGGCAGAGCTGAAGATTGGCTCCTTCGGCTTCTTCTGGGCACAGAACATCAGCCTCAAGTTCCAGCAGGAGCAGCAGACAGTGGTGGGTACCTGTGGAGGAGTCACAACTGGGTGAGGGTGGGATGGATACAGTCCTTTTCAGGCTGACAGCGAGTCTCTGCAACCAAGCTGCTGTCACACAGCTCCAGGGCTGCAGCCCTTTCTCCCTTGGCCAAATGCAGGGGGTTTTGAGTGCTCCCCACATAATGTTGGGCAACTGGAATGGAATAAAAGCATCGGGGTGAGCTATTTTTTCACTCACCTGCTTTTATGTTCTTGTAGGAAATTGACAACATCTGGATCTCCAGTAAACTGAGCCGGGAGCTCCCGTATGTACCCATGCCCCAGCTCCTTCTCTGCTCTCCTTGGGGGGTCTGTCTCACCTCTGGTCCTGCTGACTGCCTCTGCACCTTTCTGTGGTGCCCATTTCCCATGGCCTACTCTGCAGGAGTGAATCATTCCCCTTTGGGTGTCTCATGGAGGCACCCCTGGGGCTGGATGTGTGGGCCCATGTAAAGGTTGCTTGTGCTGGTTCTCCTGCAGACGCTACTTTGAGCTGTGTTTTGGTGAAGTGCGAATCCGCACAGATCTGCAGAAGAGCCATGGGCTCCAGCCATCCTTCCCTGAGGCTCCCAAAGAAGCTGATGATGGCAAGAACAAAGTAGACCTGGCCCTTAAACCATCCCTGCTGCGGCTCCTTAGCCAGGTGAGCTCTGGCTCCATGAGAGGGTGTTGCAGGCTGTGCTGCTGTTGCATAGCCCTCACCATACTGCCTTCCATCAGCTCTTTTCCATCCACATGGACTCCATCAACATCATGGTTCTACATGCAGCCACCTCAGAGTCTCTCTGGCACATCCAGGCCAGCAAGACACGTCTTCTCCTCAATGGTGATGGGAAGAGGTAATGCTGTGTTCATGCCCTTTATCCCACCAAAAAAGGGAGGGAAGGGGCTTGGTTTTGCAGGGCCTTCAGCCTCAGTCTGCTCTCTGCTCTCCCCAGCCTGAAGTGTGAGGTGAACCTGACAAAGGTCAACAGCAAAGTGCTTCGGAGCAGCCAGCTGGTGAGTAATGGGGAAGGGAGAAATTCAGTGGGCCTGGGCAGCAGCTCTCTGGGACATTCCAGGAACTGTTGCAGTGTGTCGTTGAGGTTGGGTGATGCTGAATGTCCTGCAAGGCTCTCAGCTCCATCCTGTGCTCAGTGCATTACCTGCAGCCTCCATCAGCAGGGAGCTGGGTGACTCCTGGTGTTCTCCTTGCCCATGTCCCTACACAGGATGACACATGCCTGGCAGAGCTGGCCCTGGCACTCTCCATCTCACTGGAGATCAGCAGCAAGCAGCGACTGGTGGGCGTCAGGCTGAGTGTCCGGACTCTGCAGGCAGAGCTGCATGAGGGGCTTTTCTGCAGCCCTCTGTTGCACCGTGTGACAGCCAGAGCCCCTCAGCCTAGCCCAGGTCAGGGACAGGAGCAGGTCTGGCAGTCCCATCACTTCCACTGCAGCCAGAGGAATTTGGCTGTGCTATCACTGCTTCCCAGCACAGGGAGTGGGAGTCTGGGCAAGAGCCTTTCTGTGACTCTGTGTTTCCTGCTCCAGACTCAGCAGAGTCCCTGAAATCCCCATCCCTGCTGAGCAGGGACACACTGCAGCTCATCCCCAGGAGGGTGGAGGTGAAGCTGGAGAGCACCAGCGTGGTGCTGTCTATGAACAGCCAGAAGAGGTAAGGAGGTGGTTGTACTAACCATGATCAGTGCAGGGGATGTGGTCCTGGGAATAGCTTCCTGCTTGTCCTTTGCTCTGCCTGACTGCAGAGAGAAAATCCCGGGGGGAAGGACAGAGAGCAGCCTGGGGCTGTGGGCTCTTGGAGAAGAAAGTAGGCAGGGAATCTGGTTCTCCAGCACGATAGCGTGCCTGTGTAATGAGAGTGTTGGGCTGGGCTGCAGCTGCATTCTGGGCTGTGCTTTCTCCATGACAGCGTGCTAGTCAGCTGGGATGGGAAATATAGGAGATTGAGGTCGCGACGGTGCAGATCTCTCCTGGCAGTGACCCTCTGCTTCTCCTAGGCACCTCACCTGGAGCCTGAAGCTGCTGCAGTTTCTATATCAGCGTGAAGAGGAGCAGATCCCACTGCGCAACTTCACGCCCACCTCAGATCTGGACCAAATGAGTGTAGACCTCCATCTGGAGGGCAAGTAGCCGAGAGAGAACCTATGATGCAGGACTGCTGCCACTTCCATCCAGCACCCCTCATTCTTGCTCCTCTCCCTCCCCAGATGGCCTTCTCCTGTCCCAGAGCCGCCAGCGCATTGTGTGCCTCAACTCCTTGAAGACCAGCGTGCAGGTGAGCAGATGCTGGACATGCTCCTGTCCCCTGGAGGGGCTGATTTGACTCCAGGCATGAGCTTGCTGCCACCCTGTGCTCTCCCTGCCCTAGGTCACAGCCATTGACCTCTCAGCTGCTGTGCTGCTCAACACCTGCATCATCCACTACCGCCACCAAGAGTTTTCGCACTGGCTGGGCCTGTTGGCACAGGAACACAGGCACCATTCGGCACCTGTCCCCAGCCAAGGGCACAAGGGAAGGTAAACAGCCTCAACTGCTGTTTTTGCAGCTTGTTCCCTCTTACCTGCTGCTTTCTGGCAGGGTGCCTGGGCATACAGCTCCTTCTCTGCCCTGCACACAGCCTATGGGTCAGGGAGGCTGATGTGGAGGGTGGACCCTATAAGGAGAGTGTCCTTTGGAGCCTGTTCCTTGGCGCACAGGACCCCTGTAATGCCCCATCACTTTTTGTCCTCCATAGGAGCTATCCCCAAATCATAGCACCCATCATACTGAGTGCCTCGCTGTCCAACGTCAATGTGTCGGTGCAACTGGGGGATACTCCACCCTTTGCCTTGGGCTTCAACTCCATCTCTGCAGGTAAGGGTTGGCTCCAGTGTGCTTGCTCAGCTCTTCTTGTGGGGTTGGTGGCTCTGCTGGAGAAGTACTGGGGATGATCATCATCCTGAGCCTATGGCATGGGAATGGGGAAAGCTTTACTCTGTCTGAGTTGTCTCAGTTGTCTCTGTTTGGGGGCCTGGTTGTGTCTGAGTTGTCTTTGTCTGGGAGCTGCCAAGCAGGCAGCAGCAAGCCCTGCCTGTACTCACGTTCTGTGCCTGCAGACTACCAGCACCTGCGTCCCCAGAGTGTGCACCAGCGAGCCGTGCTGGTTGTGGACCACCTTTGCTGGCGTGTGGGCAATGACTCACACATCCAGCGTGCCCCCCACCCCCCCAACATGCACGTGTGGGGAGAAGCCCTCATCCTTGACTCCTTCAACCTGCAGGTGAGTGGCTGAGGGGTGGCTTTGGGGGTGGGGGAGGATGCTGCCTATCCACAGCTCCAGACAAGACACGTAGCGGCGTGGGGGCATCCTGCATCTTGAGAGTGATCATCTTGTTTGTCCTGCAGGGCAGCTACAACCAGCCCTTGGGCATGTCCAGTGCCCAGTCAGACACACTCTTCTTGGACTGCACCATCCGGGGGCTACAAGTGGAGTCATCAGACACCTGCACCGAGTGCCTGGCCAGGGTCCTGTCCCTGTTCTGCCCGCAGCCCAGTGGAGCTGAGCTTGCCGAGCAACCATCTTCTGCCCAGAGTGATCCCTGGATATTGCTCTGGAAGGTAGATCTGAAAGTGGAGGATGTAAATCTTTTCACGCTCTCAGCGGTAGTGGGTAAGTGTAGTTGTAGCATCCA